ACTAGGGATAGAGCTAGTTTTTATCATCAGTTCTTTACTTGCTGGTGCTATCGTGGATTTGCACTTATGTAATAATTTGGCCAGAGCTAAAGAATCCTGCAAAGGCTTGGTCTGCCATTCCTTTTGCTTACCAGTGGATGGTTTTGCATGGAGTGCAGTGAATACTGGGTTAGACCCAAAACTAATTAATTTTCCAATAGCTTGTTCTAGAAGATATTTTTAGTTTATCCTGACCTAGCTGCATTGTCATTTTGTTAAGAGCACTTTGGTAAAGTAATTCAATCGGGTGTACTACTACACAGAAGAATCCATAAAGCAACATCTGGCGCAACACGAGAGATGTAACAAGAGTTATCAGGTAGGAGCTGGCATTTCCATCAGCTCACCATGTGACATCCTGTACAACCTTAAACGATCATGGTTTACTAATTGAAACAATCCATCAGTGTGAAACTAAACACTTGCCAAGGACGACAACCCTTAATTCTTGCTTTTAGCTGCCTCTGGTGTAAGGGCACATCTATGGCTTGGTGAACCCTATTCCATTTTCCAAGCCTCTGCACCAGGAGGTTTGCAAAGAAGTGGCTGCCTGAAGTTCTTACTATGTGGCAAAGAGCCTTTTCTTTTTTCCCAGCTCCATTCTTGGAACTGGTTGAAGTTGTCTAGAGATAGGTTTGTTGTTTTTTTTTAACAGAACTTGGCCTGTTGCAGATCCCCATATGAAAAGTCACAGCAAAAGTTTTAGCATGGAAAATTTGGCCTTACTCCTTTAAACAATTTATTTAGGCCACAGTTTTCAAATCCAACTGCCCAGACTCAGCTCTCTAACATATGTCCTTTGAAGCCATCTGCAAGGATATCAGAAGCAATTGCCCATGTGTTGACATGGTCTTCCTGACAGGATACACCACACATGTCGAGCAGGACACGAGCCCCTAAGTCAGAGGCTCCAGTTCATGCTGCCATACCAATGTAGGCAATCTAAACTGATAATTTCATTAGGATCAACAGAGGAAACAACAGAGCTTAAAGCTGAGCATCTACTTGAAGTTATGCACAATATCAAACTGGTACCTTAAGTCTGCACTGAGGCCTCTTAACATAAAGCTGAGTGCCTTGGCAAGCTTATGTCCACCTTAATAATAAATCCTGGTGACACAACCCCTTTAAGAAGAACAGTAAGAACTGAAGCCTCCTTAGTGGAAGCAATCTGCTTTGTTATGTTTCAGTGCAGCCAGAATACTTGGAAGATCCTTCTATCTTATTCGTGCTCTCTCTCATTATCAGTTTTTTCTAAAAGCAGTAGGGTTCAGTCAATATTCTTTTAACTAGCTTGTTCCTTTATCTGGCTAGTCATTTTAAGAGCTATCCACTTGCCTAGGGAAGTCTGTGTGTTTTGATTTTATTTTTATTTTGAATGACTGCAGTCATCTGGCTGTTTATGTGAATGATTAAAGTCTTTAAAAGCCCTGATGAATTTTTTTACTCCCTTGCTTCCATTCTATTCCAGACTTCTGCAAACACAGACAAATGTATGTTGTTTTTAAAAGAAAGGACTGTTAACAAACAGTAAATAAACTAAACTCAACTGGACTTCTATTAGAATGGCAGACTAATGAGCCGAGTAATTTGAGTGATATAAATAAGGAATGGCCAGAAGCAAAGGAGGCTGTAAGAAAGTCTATTGTAACACAAGACTGGGTTCACTGAAGCCTTTCAGCAGAGTGATTATTTTATAAAGAGCCTTATAAGCCAAGGTCTTAGGCTTGATCCTGCTCATACCTCTGTATTGCTGACAACAGGGTAACAGCATTAGTGGGATCTGGTTTTCTTGAGTTCCAGTAGAACTGGAGGGGACTGTGGTCTCAGTGATGATCCAATATGATGCATTTGATATGTGTACATATATCAGTTCTGAAAGCTTACTAACAGATTTTGGAGCATCACAGTATAGGAAATAAATAGGCACAGGCACTGGACACGACACTAAGGTGCAGTAATAGAAGAGCAAGACACTTTAGGGATCATCTGTTATTTGAAAAAATGAGTGGATCTCATTCCACAGCACCAAGGCTTTTATAGAAATATTCCTCAACAGAGAAATGTTTCTATGAAATCAGCTTTCAGAACTGGTTTATGGATATCTTTAAGACAGCATCTTCCTTGCAGAAATTCTGCTAAGGTGTGGATATAGCCAGGACTTCTACTCGTATAGGCTGAGCTGAAGATGTGCTGGTAAAGAGTAATCCCTGCTATTCCCACATGGCTCTTCCTTAGACAATATTAAACATTTTTCCCAGTATATTGGCTGCCAACAAATGGCATAGGATATCATAACTACCTTTCACTCCTGTCTCATACTTTCCTGACTATGATTTTTGACTGTGCTTACTTATGGCTGTGTTGAAAGAAGACAATGTAAATCAGAGTTTTAGTTGTTCTGTTGTTCCATTCGGTATTCAGGTTTTAAATTATTACAAGCTCATGCCTATAAAAGTGTCCTTGTTTCCATTACCTGTATTTGGCTTCCAGGCTACATACTGAAATTTATAGATATTGTGCAGCCTACAGATGCTTTATGGAAGAACTATGTCCTCCATAGGCTTTGAAACTGAGACTGTATTTGAGTGGAGATCATGTTCAGGGACCAGAAACAAAGAACAGGCTGAGCAAATGCAGTTTCTTGTGAGCATAACGGCTGGAATTTTAAAGGCATTCAAAAATGGCTGGAAGAGACTCCTGAGTTATTTCAGGCACTTCAGAGTAAATGATCATGCCCTATTTGTACAGTCTATGATGTGACAGGAACAGAGATTCATCACCTCAGTCCCGAGGTGTTGGTTGATGCCATTAATATTTATAATAGCTTTTCAGGGTGCCAGGAATCACTCAGTGCTCCTGAGAATGGTCCTCAGAGAAGGACCACTGAATGGCAAACTAGAGCCAATGTCTCTTTGGGTTTTGCATTCCCCAAAGCTGAATGTTGTGTCATCCTCTTCTACTTAGATGCTGAGTGGCACTAAGCAGTGATCTCTGCTGCACACAGGGAGTGGCTTGTCCTCCTGTGACATTTCTGAGTTCTTAGAAATTAACAGACAGCTCTTGGGACCTTGCTGGGGCAAGCAAACAGACATCAACACTTTTACAAAAATGCATGTGACTGGCACTGTGCTTTAAACTGAAAAAAATCTTCTTGCCATATCATTCAGGTATTTGTAGCAAGGATCTGAAAATGTATCTTGAAAAATACAGATAAAGCTGATTAGTCCAGCTCATAGCACAGTAGTGGTAAAGCACAAATATTTCTAACCACTTTTCTCTGGACTGGTTCAGCTTGCTTTTGATTATATTTTGAATTTGCGTCATCTTGAATTTTTCCCTGTAGCAGGTGCAGATGAGTATAAGAACTGAAGCAGAGAGCAGCAGTGTGCTGCTTGGGGAAATGGCAAGTGACTCTATAATTTACTCAGTGGTGTGTTTCTACTTATAATTATTGCTAATTCAAAAAAAATCAGTGCAAATTGCATGACAGCACTGTGTAAGACGAGTGCAGAGATAAAACATGAACACAACCCGTGCCTTGTAGGCTGACAAATGAAGTGTAAAGTGCTATTGTTTGTTTACTGACTGCCTGAGCATGAGATGAACGATTATCTCTGCCTCGAGAGGTAGCCCAAGGTTTCCCGTGGTATCAATCTTCCTGTTTGTGATTCATTTGTGCAAACAGTAGAAAGCTGAGCATGTAACTGTGAAGGCAATTACTCAATTACTTCTCTGCCCCTTAAAAATTGTGTTGCTTCTCCGTTTCCTTTTGAAACTCAGGGTTGCACCGGAGCAAGCCAGGGAGGGTGAGCCCCACTCCAACCTGGACATGACAGGGCAGGTCCAGAGTCACAGTTGTGCCTGTAAAACCTCTCCACTGTGAACTGCTGCTTCCCAGCAGCAAGGTGTTTCTAATGAGCTCACATGCAGTAGGAGGAGAAGCCAGATCCACCAAGGTACGCTCGGGGCTGCTGAGGTGTGGGAGCAACCTGTCGTCCCTCCCTGGAGGAGGTTGCACTTATGTTGGTGTCAGGAGACTGTTGGACAGGGTTGGTTTTAGGGTGTGACATCCTTGTTGTGCTTCCTGTGCGGAGGCTCGAGGAAGCCGCAGGGGTGAGGGTTCACCCAGCTCACACCGCAGCTGCAACGGCAGGATGTGCCTGACATAGGTGCAGTCCTGGGCCTGCTCTGTATTCTCTATACTGGCCCAGCTAACAGCAAACTCAGTGGGGAAGCTGGTCTGGGCAGCAAAAAAATAAATAAATAAGACAGTCAGGTGTGAGCCTGATAGGTGTTTGAGTCCTCTTCCAGTGTAAGACGATAGCAGAGCACCAGCGACTCAGGGGAGCTCCTGCCATCTTTCCCTGCTGCAAAACCATCACCTTGTGCTTGTCCCAGAGGGTCCAGCTCACAGCACCTCAACTGGGTACTTTGGGAAGCTTGTCTCCCTCTCCCTCTCTCTCTCTCTCTCTCTCCTTCTCTCTCTCTCCCCCTCTCCCTCTCTCTCTCTCTCTCCCCCCCGCTATGCTGTGCAGAATCCCAAAGAGTATTTCACCTCTGAACTGCTGTGGTGTGAGGTCTCCACAAAAACCCCTCAGCAGCATGCAGCACGCAGCAGCTTAAAATCCCTGCTCTTGCCAGGACGTGCCAGGTAACATTACTGTTTTCCCACACCAAGCATTTAAATGTTGTTTTGCCTTCACATGTGCTTCTTTCTTTCTGATTTTGATCTGTACATACTTCATTCACTCCACTTCTGGCCATCTGACTGCCCACAAAGCACTACTTGTCTGCAAACCAAGCTGGAGGAGTAAACTGGAAAATAAAAAAAGCTCCCAGTGAAAATTGTGGAAAGCCTAATCTTTTTAGTGGAGTAACACAAAGACGAAGCAGTGACTAGACAGTAGTTTGTAAATATTTACGTAAATAAGATATCTGATAATAATGGACTCTGAAATCTGGGCTGCTTCTTGTTTGAAGTCATTAAGTAAATAATAGATTCTTTTTTTTTTTCTATCACAGACTAAAAATACCTACTTTCACCAAAAAGTAGAATCTGCACATGGCACATACCGAGTGAAACTCCCCGGCCTGTAACAGGAGAAAGTTTAGGCTAGTATGTCTGACTGGTCTGTGAAGCTACATTATCATCAACCACTACAATAAATGCTTTAAAAGTAACTTTGTAGTTCTTTATCAGCTCTTGAAGAGAGCATTAAAAAATGAACAGTGGGAATATAATGAAAACAACACTATGATGAGACACAAAACCCTAATCTCCCAACTCACCAGGCCATTGAAGACCCTAAAGAGAAACTGAATCACTTCTTGGTGTATGAGAAGTACCTCAGAAAAGCACCTCTGTGTAGCAGATCTGCTCACTGAGGCAAATAAAACACCAATGACTTAAAAATCTATTCTGTCAAGTATTGTTAACTTTTGCCAAAACCATCTTTCCTGTAATGGAAGCGTTGGAAGGATGGGGACTAGTTGTCCCTCAGGAAATGCTCTGTTGGTACAGCCAACTCAAAGCACTGTGGACTAATTATGAACAAAAAATGCAAACAAACACAAATCATTATTTGACCATACTGGCTTTTCAGTTTGGGTGCTAAAATAATGTGCACCCCACTAACTTTGGTCCTGAATTTTCCTGGTTTGCCCAGTCCTTGTTTGTGTAGCCAACTGCCTGCAAGAGCATCACTGGTGCCTGATGATGATGAAAGAGGCTAATTTCCATGAATCTGTTGGAACTGATCTTTCAGATGATTGACTCTCCCTGTCCACACATCATTTCCTTCCTTTCTTCTCTCCAATTCAAACACTGTTGATCAGCTTTTGTTAAAACTGAAAAAAAAAGAAAAAAAAGAAAAGAAAAAAAGATAAATTATTATGCAGGAAATAGAGATCTTTGAGGGACTTTTTTTACACTTAACCCAGCAGCACCATTACATTGCTAGCAGAGTGGAAGTGTATACAGTACAGGCTGCTGCCTCAGCTATCTGATCTTATATAGTACAGTCTATCTGTGTACCAATTTGTAACATGTCCAAAGCCTTGTGAAAGCATCCCCATGTGTAGAATTACATTTGTGTCATATTTATTTAATGACATATCTGCTAATACAGCACCTGCTCAACAGAGTTGCAGACTACATTGAAATCAATCACTGTATGCAAACTGCCTTTAGCAAATGGGATAGGTTATCTGCCCAGCTTAACTATGCATATCTGTGTGTGTTCATCTTTTTTAACACAGCTAGGACTGTTAGACTTTTTAGACACAAATTAAATGTTTTTTTAGTTTCTACTGTTTTTAACTAAATGAAAACTCTTGCTAGAGTTGGAATGAAGCTGCTGGAAGTCAGTGGGTGTCAAGAGTCAGGGCCTCTGCATAATTAGGGAGAAAATTCAATATCTAGCCAAAGCTCTTGCTAAAGCCAGAGTTTCTTCTAAGTCTTTGTGTGCATGTCCTTGGAGATGCATTTAGAGATGTTTGAGCTTGAAAAGGTCATGTTGGGGTTACCACTTTCTGGAGGTGCCTTTCTGGGGTTCCTGTGGCTGCAATGAAGTACCACGGGCTCTGACCTGCTGTCATACTGGGGCACGTTCTGCTCGCCCTCCACATCAGATACGTCTCAGAGAGGGAAAATCCCTTTCTGCTGTGCTATGTTGACCTAAAGCCCAAGGGCCTCATCCTCATTCCATTTACATCCCTGTTGTAAGTCCACTGATACTTACCTAGACTTCTTCCTGGAGGACTAGCGCTCCTAAATGCCTCCAAAATACAAAAATAAACATTTGTCTCTATACATTTCAACAGAGTTTCCTTGCTTTGGAAAACTGTTTTATTTAATTTGTGTTTTAACGCTCACTTGGAAGCTGGAAGTACTTGAGCTATAAAAGGAGCTTTGTGTACTTGGTGCAGCTGAATTCATTTCCATCATGAAAAATATACTAATCATCAGCTGCAGCAATATGTCTTGAATGTTTCTGATTAAAGTGTCCCCCAGAAAGATGTTCTAAAAGTTGAGGTAACCAAAAGAAATCTGTTTGAGCTTTTCTTAAGGCACTGGTATGAATTATAACATAAACAATGTTATATTAAATAAATATTACATTTTAATTAATGATTAGTGATTCAGTAAATAAATTAATGATTCTGTATACTATCAAAGACTAACAAGGGCTTAATTCTGGCCATCATTGAAGGGACAGCCAGAATCCTTCCATGATTAATATAATTGTCTTTTATTCATGGTTTTGGATGAAAAATACAGTGGGTATAAAAACTGACAGTGTTTCTTTAGCTTCAGAGGCAACTTTCATATTGGTGTTACAGGCCCTCACTGCCATTAATCAAACAAGATGGTACATCAGCTCCTTTCCATACACACTTCTTGCTTTCTGGTTAAAAGACTATTTTTCAGACCTGCCATGACAGAAATCCTTACCCACTCAAATATTGGAGAGCTTTTCTACAGCAGGAGATACCAACAGAAAAACTGTTTCTCAGCTGTATGTGTGCCATCATTGTCACTATAAAGGGCACTGGCAACTGAAAAATATCTGACAAATTGACAGCTTGACAGCGTCCCGAGATGGTGAATTAATCCACCTTGGCAGAAGGCTGTTGATGAATATTTAAATAGGTTAATAGTCAACATCAGAACGCTGAAACCAAATACAGGCTGGCAGCAGAAGGGAACAGGTAAATCTGATATCTAAATTATACTGTTAGTACTGTGCTTCAATCTCAGAATGAAAATTAGATCCTCAAATCTGAAATAAAAGAGTTAATACTCTTTCTTTACAGATATTTCTCTGAGTAACTGCCTTTTCTTCAAAAGAAGGTGCTTGTTTCCTTTAATTTATGTGTGCCTTCACACAGGCAAATTCCCAGTTCCTTATTCAGCTCCAAGACACACATGTTCAAATAGGAAGTTGGGTAAGTTTGAGAAAGAAAAATATATTAAGAATAAGTAAATCCTGTCTGGGTTGGTGTTGATAAATTTTGAACATATCCATGAATGCTTCAATTTTTCTGGTCTTTTTCTCAAAACCTGATGAGAAATACTTACTAGTTTGACCACTATAACAGACAGGCAGACAGACAGACAGGAACACATCTCTTTGGGGTGGCTTTCACAGTGGTTTTATAGACAAGATCTGTAGTCCTGAGGACACCATCAGCCCAACACCAGAGCTGGAACTGCAATAAAATAAGGAGTGAAAAAGGACCATAAGGAAGCGCTGCAATGATGTAGACACTCTAACCTCAGCTGTTCACTGCTGTACTTTCTGGGTCACCTGCAGTATCTTTTTGGCAATATGCAGAAGGGCAAACTCAGCTGGCACTGCATTCATTTACCTTGCAGAATATCATTAAAAATGTACAAGTTGGACCATGCACTTTGCCCATATCACTTTCGGGTACTTGCAGGTGGCATTTCTCCAAAGGGCTAATGCGGTTCAATAACAATTGTTTGTGCCATCTGTGGGCTCTGTAATGAATTCTTTGACTAACCCAGAATCCTGTTTGGCTCCAGAAGGGCTCCAGGGCAGCCATGCAAGTCAGGTGCACTGGAAACTATCTATTTTCTAAGGATAACTGAAATCCATGTTAATAATGAGAGCTAGTGCTGGTGAAATCCATTTTCATTGTGCAAATTGAAGACTGCTTCTCGTGGGAATCTGTTCTGGGTCCAATACTGATCAGCATTTTTATTAAGTATTTGGATTAGGGAATACTGTGTTATTATATTTGCAGATGATAACAACCTGGGAGGAACTTTGAAGGAGAGAAGCCAAATTCAAAACAATCTTGGTAAAATAGATAAATAGCTTGGGCGGTGCTAAAAGAAACGGTCAATGAAAAAATAGGAATTACTTAAGAATAATTGCTTGAACATTAGATATAAAGTGACTGATTTGGCCTGCCTGAAAAAAAAGCATGCGTTTGCCAGGAGTCAACAGTGTAATAGCTATAGGGGAAAAACACACCATATCTTGTTATGGGTTATACAAATACATGTGAGATAAATGAAATTATTTTTCCACTGCGTGCAGCACAGATAAGGCCTCAGTTAAAGTACCAGCTCTGTTTGGTACTTGTCAATTCAGAAAGGAGGTGGCCAACTGGATAAAGTCCAGATGAGAGCAACAAAAATAACCATGGATTTCATCAGAAAAACTTAAGGAAACTGGGTGTTCTGCAGGTTAAAGAAGGACTATTTTCAGATAGTACAAAGGTACTGCTCAGTATTGTTCCTCATATTTGGGCCAGGATAAGAAGCAAAAAAATTTACCTTCTGGTGAAGCAGATCTAGGTTAGAAGTTCAGAAGAATGTAATGCTTTGGGGAATATTGAGCGTTTGTAATTGATTTTTAGGAGCAGCTGAATGACCAGGATTGGCTGGTGCAGCAGGCCTTGGGCAGCAGTGTGGAGCTGGAAAACTGCTGCCCATTCTATTTTCTAGAAAACAGTTGCTTAACTCACAACTGATGTCAGTGATACTGAAGTATTTGAATATATTTTTTTGTGGAAGAAGCAAAACTGGGGATAAGCAAAACAGAAGGAAATATATTAACTTAAAAAACATGAAATGCTGTTTTTTGCTTGCAATGGCTCATCATCAATAACATAAATACTATATGCTGAGCTGTTCTCTTACATTTTAGCAGGTATGGTAGTACCTGCCAAGGAACCTGTAAATTATCCAGTGGCTAGTAAATTCATCAGTCAAGAAACTTTACTGTTAACTATAATCTCATATTAGATTTGAAGTCTTCATATAATTAATACAAGCAATCATGTCACTACCATTATCATTGTGATGCTTATATCCCTGGTTGTGAAAGAAGCATGAGTTGTGTAGAATGCAATAGCAGTAATTAAACTGGTCAATGTAACTGGAAAACAAGACAGACACCTGAGATCTTATTTCCATTGACAGGCACTAAGGTTTGGACTGCATGTGTTCTTTTAGCCTCTGACCAGATAATATTGCCAATTGTGTCACTAAAGGTTAGTTATGCAAGGCAAAACTTAGGTAATCTGTGTGGATAACACACACAAAAAAATTACCATAAATATAAATTTCAATTTGTAAATACATCTACAGTGATTGTGTTGGGTTTTGTCTAGATATATATTTTAACAAATAAATTCATGGGAAGTATAGTAATAAAAAAACCCTAAAATTAGAGAATATTTGTAGGTCTCATTCACCAATTTATAAATGTGCACTTTCTCTGCTTAAGAATGATTTCTCTTTTAGCAAGCAAGAAGTAGAAGGAATAATATGTCAAATGTGAAATAGCTCATTCTTTCAGTACTTCCCAAGAATAACTTCAGTAAGATCTACAGAGGAGGGATAAACCTCCAGTGGCCTAGCATTGTTCCCACTCAATTCAATGAAAAGCCTGCTATTTATTTCAGCTGGACGATCTCACAGCTATTTTAGCAATTAGGTTCACATAAAGAATTAATTACATAAAATTATAAGCAATTTGTAGACAAATACAAAGAAATTAAATTAACTGGATAAATTATATGCTATGAACCACTCAGCTGTAATAGTTATCTTTTGCTAATGTGCACCCTTAGAAATATTCCAAATAAAAGATACAGTTCAATAAAAGTGATTTAGAAAAAAAAATTATAATTGTCATAAGATTTTTTAATTGATATGGGGATTACCTTAAAAAGTTTTTGATGAATTTGTTAAGCCAGTAAATTCCAAAACATCTCCTGGAAATGTATCACAAAACAAAATCACTAGAACTCCCTCCCTTGTTTTTCTGAGCCTAGCATTTAAATCTGCACTGGATACTGTCCCTCCTGGCCATTTTTCATGGAGCCTGTGAAACAATTTCATATTATACCAGTGGCACAAATCCTAGAGTAAAATCAGAAACAGGGTTAGGTTGCCCACAGGGAATTTAGTGTTCCAAAGCTAGAACTGATTTATTACCAACTGGTTTGTTAATAGCTGTCTTTGATATCTTCTGGCTACTTTGAATTATGCATTGTTGACGTACCCTCGGCCAACTTCTACTGATATTAATAAAAAAGTGAAAACAATAGACATTCAACTAAGGACAGAGTAAAAAATATTTAAAGACCTCTAGGTTTCTTCCAATAGGTGCTTCAGCAGGGTGAGGCTGAACATCTTACAGCAATAGCATCAGTAAAAGACCTTTGCTGTGATCAAATATACAGTACAGGAAGCTGGCAGAAGGCTTCTCATTCCATTAGAACCATTACCAACTAAAAATATATGCTTTCAGAACAAGACAGGAGATTGGGAAACAAAAAATAAAAATATGCGAGGAAATCACAAAATATGGGAGATTTATAGATTTACAGCTGCAGCAGGCCTAGATGGAGAAAGTGAGACAGCAGAAAAGGGATTAGGATTAGGATTGCTTATGCACTTATATAACGTTTGTTCTAAATTTGATTACAGTACTCAGTAAAATGAGAACTCAGTATTCATCATGCACAGCAAAACTTCACGTCAGCATCATCATTTACATTTGCAAAAATAATTACGAATCATTTGTAAAATGCTTCAATTATGTTAATCAGGCAATGTTTTGCTACACTTTGAAGACATAAAGCATTGTAGGAACTTCAGACAGAGCAGCCATATGTTTGTTTGTCTCATATGGCTGCAGGAACATCATCTGTCATGTTCACAGCTACTTTTTTTTTGTCTGCAGAGACCACAGACATCCCTGCATGGTAGATTATCGCACCCTACCTCTAGAATAGTAGGCCACAAATGGATTTTTAAAAAATAATAAATATATACACACACATTCTCAGATTTTGAGTATCCAGCTTCAGATTTATAAAGCTTGAGTTTAAGTGCTAAACACTTCCTATGGTTTTATTCATTCTATAATGAAGTCTGACTCTGTAATTATAGACAGGTTTTCAAAACCCTGAGCCTACATGACTTTTCTTGAAGCTTAGCCAGAAGTGAAATGGGAAGCTGTTGTGGAATCAGTGGTACCATGATTTCTCATTAGACTTTACATATACTCTGCCTATATGATACACAACTTGTCCTGTTGTCAGGAACTGCTTGGAGCCAGCACAGCATTGCTGGTGGACACACCTACACAGGAGATTTACCTGGATATAAGGAGTGGGTTATAAACTCACATGTTAACACGTGGTTTAGGTAGGAAGGATAGTGGTTAAAGAAAAGCAGGTGGAAAGATAGGTCTCATCATAAATACCAGCCAGAGATGTGATTAATTTACAATTTCTGAAGTGCCAAAACTTTACTCTAAACATTGTGTTGGAAGGAAGAAGTGTTTTTGCCAGCTTATTCTGTTTGGTAAATGCTTTTGCTTAACCCTTTTGCTGTATAAAATGCATCTCTGTTAGCAAAAATTGCTTTTACAGCTATACTAATGAACAGCCTCACCAGTGTTGAGTAAGTGCAAGCTAATGATTTTGTCTTGATCGGTGAGACCTTCTCCTTCCCGCTGATACATCTGAAACCTGTGCTCATGGCCAACATTGGCAAAGATTTTCTACTTTGTCCTTTACAGCCCAAGGTGGCTGTATCAGTTTTAGATGAGGCACTGAAATTTTCTTCACCTCTCCAAAGTGTCTGTCTTGCCCCTCAAAACTGTCTCTGCCTTGTTTCTCGAGGCATTTGTGTAACGCAGACAGGCCAAAGTCATGTCCACCAGTTCAATCTCTCACACTATTGAAAAAGGGGCAAACTCACTGATATTGGGTAATACCCAGCAGTTAATACTGATGCACATATTAAAATGGTGGGGACTATTTGCTTCCCAATTTAGGAGTGCTGCATTAAGGCTCTCCTAAATTCTTTTGCCTTTACTAGTGAGGGAGGAGCCTTGAAAAGGAGCTCATGTAATCACAGCTGGTTGCTGCTCAGAGAGGTAAGATCATCTGCACCCAGGTTAGGTTTTCAGCGTTCAAGCTGGCTACAACCCAGCAAACAGCACAGCGAGGAACACCTCCAGGAATATCTACCTCATAACTGGAGTGCAGTATAGGGACATGTCAGCTGGCTTTATATAAGCTAGCTCAAATACTAAAAAGCTGAAGCCTGGAAAGATAAAAAATATGTTATGTTAGTTATGACAACTTTACTTCATAACTAAATCCCACAAAGATTTACGTGACTTGTAAAGTCTGAGCCAGAAGGTGCTCTCAGAAACCCTCTATCCAATTCAGCAGTTTGTCCTCCAAGATATGGGACAGTGAGGTTCTACATGAGGGTGTTTGAAATCCTACCTCCCACTACCTGGAGAATATTCCATATCGTAGATGTTACACTATTTTGAAATAAGCTATTAATCCAAGAGAGTGTACAGCCATGAACAGAATTCCTGTGTTCCTCTCCCACAAAGTTCTCAAACTCCATTCCAAAGGAACATATCCAGGTGTGTAACTGTTTGTATTACAGTTGTCATGGTAGTGTCCTAGGAGACCAGTGTCAAGGGACCTAGATGCTAGTCCCTGTGTTTATTCTCCAGGATTGAATCTTTCTTTATCCACTCCATGGTCTTAAATGAGGTGAAAGCAGGAAAAGAAAAATCCCCATAGATCCCATATATTATGAGTGTTTATTAAGAAATCCCAACATTGATTTGCATCCTTTTCTGCCTGGTACTTTTTCTAAGGTTAACCATGAAGGGATGTGTGGATGTCAATAATCACTTGGGCTTATAACTCAGAAAAGGAAATTGTTATAACAGGATGAGGATAAGAATGAATTAGTTGGAAAAGTGCATTTTTATAAATCATTAAATAAAGTCTGGGGAAAAACTCACATTTTATAAGGATATCCAAGTTTAAAACATAGAAAACCGATGTCAATGTCCAGGATATAATAGCAATTAACTGATTATCTTAACACATTTCCTCACTAAACTTTTGTTTTGCACTTTCCATCAAGACAGGACCATTAGAGACATTCCAAACTTTATGAGCTGTGGATTCAAAAATTCATCTCTTCCCTTAAAAAAAACAGAAGAAAGGAAAAAAGGGGCATGAGCAAAAAGGGTTTTATTCTTCATCCTGGTCATGCTCAGCTTTATGAAGATAAGGGATGGCTTTTCAAGATTTCCTCTTTCATCTAATCATGGACAGTTTCCCTGGGGAAAAAGGAAACAAAACAGTTCTAGAGAAAGCCACAAGTCAAACATTGTGGCCTACAGGCAACATGTAATTAAAAAGTTAACAGTGGGGCTGAAAGGGAAGATGAACTATTATGTTTTCCACAGCTTGCTGTTATCCTGGGGCCTTGCAAACTGGGTTGCACTGATCTTGACTTGCATTTAGCAGGCCAGGCTATTCCACACTGCCAGGAGATGAGGTAAGTGTAGAGCATCTTTTCATGCAGTGTGGTGCACTGCAAAGTCTTGTGTGTGTGTGAAGGGGACTGACAGGTTTGACCTTCTGTGTGCCACATGGAGCCCCTCACCTGGCACTCCAGGATCCAGCTCTATTGGGCTGAATGTGTTGGGTAGAAGTTGAAGCTCTGCACTGCAAACAAAGCTCTCAAGTAAGAAGAAAAAAACAGTAATGGAAAGGTGAGGTTTTACATCAGGATCCAGGTTTTAGCAATTGAGAGAAAGGGTAAGAAGAAATAACAAAATAATGCATTATTGTGGAGATCCAGTAAGTGTCTTGGAAATGTCACCTTGTGCATCCTGCAATTTAATCTGATCCTATTTCTTGCAGGGCACAAAAAAAGGAGTGACAAACTGCACACAAGGTTTTCCTTTAAAAAGTTCAGTTCATTTTCTAATGCTTTTACTTTTTCCCTGAAGACTGGTTGCTCTAGGTAAGAATTCCCATGTGTCTTTAGATGAAGGGCCTTGTGACTGAAAATCAGCCACTTATTATCTATATATAATGCTTCAGCCAGTAAATGAATGCTTGTGGAAAGATGCCTTGAAGAAACCCTGTGTCTCTCAGGCAGCTTTTTGTCTCTATGGATTAGAAAGAAAACAGGCATTTTTATAGTACACATTTTTAATTAGCACCATAGTTATGTAAGTAAATAATGAGTAGATTAAAATACTCATTTAAAAAAATTACATTTCATTAAAACCAAAATAATGACTGAGATGAATTCTCCATCAGGAAGACAGTGTACTGTAAGGAGTATTGCTGCTCTTTGCTACACAAACCTCCATCCCTGCTCCGCACCTCTTAGACTTTGCTGTTTTTCTGTTTGGCCCCAAAGGACAGAGGTGTTTTTCAGCTGCAGCACAAGACCTGGGCTGCCCCAATGTCAGAGCACCAGAGCACACCATCCCCTTTGATATCAGGTGCCCCGTTTGCACTGCAGCAGTAACCTGGGAACCTGGGATGGGGCTGGTTCACCAAGGGATAAAAAGAGTTCAGCTACCAAGCACTTCAGAGTTTCAAAGGCAGAAATGCTGGGGGCAGCTCACCCTCTGGCATCAGTGCTGCACTTCCATCTCATCTCATCTTGTACTAAATGTGGTCACACAGCACGACAGCACTTCACCAGCTCCTGCTGAAGAATAGCCCCAAAACACCGTTCAAGAACAATGGAAATGCGTGAATGTCTTGCACAGGAACAAGCTCAGGGAGTGACATCAGCACCCCCATGTTCAGGCAATGATTCTGTGGTTACCAATGCTTAATTTTACAAACCCAAAAGTAGCACCATTCATTACATAAGAATTACTCATGCACATCTAATTAAAAGCTTGCTGAACCTAACATTTAAGTGTGTGTTTTTATGTTTGTGTACACATTTTTGTATCAGACAACATTTATATCCTGATCTTGCTAAACAAACATTTGAAATCATTGCTCTCATAGATACTTAACTGGGAAGATTGGAGTCTCATCAAGAGAGCCTTAGTGATGGGTTAAACCTAATCTTCATATCAGAAGGTGACTTTTTCTTCAGCAGTTGCTTTTTTTTTCTGTATAAGCCAGCTGTGTGAATGCAGGTGAGACTTCAGGGCAGTATTTTAAAGTGGGATCTCTGATGTGAGAATCTTAATTCTTAATACAGTTGACCTTTGATTTGAGAAGTGCTGGAGTGTTACTGTCTAATCAATATCTGGCTTGAATGCTCTGCTTCAATTTTCTCCTCTGAAAACTATTTGCCTCTCAAGGGTGAGATGAAACTTCATAAATGTCTAGTGTGAGCTTTTGGACAATTTAAAAGGTACAAGGTTCTACTGGGCAGGATGCTTGGAAAGGATGTTATTCTGGTGGAAATTTGCTGCTGCAAATTTCTTGCATGCAGCAAAATAATATCATCCTATCAATATACTTTCATTCACTAAGATACATACTTCTTAAAGGTAAAAATACGAACTGCAGGGTTCAAATCACTTGCAAATTGCTTCCAAGTTTTGTCTGGTGAAACAGTATCATTACAGCAATGTGGAACAGAAAGCGCAAAGCAGCTTTATGTAACACAACTGCAAGCCATGGAAACAGAGCCTTGCAGAAAGTGCAACTCGTACTTGAATTTGAGAGGGACAGACAAATATACTTGCACTTCAGAGAAAAGGCATACAAATTTTAGTGTAGTGGTCAGGACCCTGTTCTACATCTGATGATAAAGAAGGAGCATGAATATTGAGTGTATCAGTTAAGCTTCTGGCTTAAGGCCACTCTCCAGGCAACGTGCCATAGCTATGAAATCACTGTTATTTTCGACTTCACATTAGATGAATAGGGTAGTGCAAGCTGTTTGAAGCTCAGCTTTGATGTATTTAAATGTTTTGAAATAATGCCTAGCATTTGATACAGAGTTTTGTTAACATTAGCTTTCCAAAGGGCCTGATAAAAATAGTTTTATTCCCCTCTGTTTTAATGTTATTTTTCTAATTAAATGCAGATGCTTAAACCATCAGCATTCACCACAAGATTTAGTTGTTCAGATATTATATCATCTATTTTAATCCTGAATTATGTTCTAAATTTTTAACTGAACACTAAACACTATGGCAGATATGATTATGACTCGTTGCTGTATATCATAATTCCCTGGGAACAAATGGGAACAACAGGAACAGTGCTCTTCACACACAAAACCACTTCTCTTTAAGTCAGTGTCAAAGTCGTCATGGGCTTCACTGAGAACTACATTTGGTCACAAATGCTCAGGTCTTTACTGCTTAAAATAATCTCCTTTGGCTCTTAGTCACACAGGCCCAAAAGCTGCAGACTAGTATTGGTGTGTTGCAAGTGTTTGGTGCTGAACAGAGTTTTGTTTTCTTAAGCAGCAGCTGTTTTCAGAGCAAAATCACAGAATCACAGAATTGTGATCATCTAATCCAACTCCCCTGGCCAAGGCAGAATCACCCGGAGCAGGTGACACACGAACACATCCAGCTGGGAAGACCTCTTCCAGTGGAAGATTTCAAAGAAATCACTGCCCGACAACACGTTTTAACACCCAATTTTAACCAAGCAGCAGTTCACGACAATTCTGCCAGCAGCAGGGAGAGAGCAGGGCGCCAGATCCTCCCAGCACCTGTCCCTTGCCTTGGGATACCCAGACACTGTGCACTTGTGTTTAACTTCAAACCAGCGGCTGTTTAGCCTCTTTATTCCAACACGTGCACGCTTTGCATTTTTTACAAGAAAGCAAAGAGATAAAACAACCAAGTTGCGAAGAAGCTTCACTTCGGTAGAAAAGGGGAGTCTCAGGCGCTGAGGCTCTGCCTGAGGGCGCCGAGCCCTGACAGGGAGGTGGGATTTCGCCCAAATCCCTGCAGGAGGCTGCTGGAACTCGGGTCACTCGGGCCCACGCACCGCCCTTGCAACCCAGAAGCGGCACCTCGGGGCAGTGAAGCGATGGAGACCACCCGCAGCCCAGGCCCCGGGCGGACCACCACTGCCCCCCTCCACCCTCCGTGCCACCCCTCACCCCGGCCCCTCTCCCCGCCTCCCCCGCCCCGACACGTCACTTCCCGGGGCGGCCGCAGCGCCGGGACCGCCGGCTCTGAGCGGCCGCGCTGAGATGGCGGCGACGGCGGGGCGGTGGCAGCGGCGGCTCCTCGGGGCCGCGCCGGCGGGGCTGTGCCGCTCCTGACTCGGCCCCGCGCCATGGGGAGCAGCCGCGGCGGGCGGCTCGCCTGAGGCGGCGGCGACAGCGGAGGGCGCGGCAGTGCCGAGGGAGCCCCGCCGCGGGGGCCGCGACCCGCTTCGCCGGGGATGCTGCGCTGGGTCCGGCAGCAGCTGGTAGGTGCCTCCCCCCCGAGCCCCCCGCACTCCCCGGCCCGGCGGAGCCCCAGCTCGGCCGCGGGCCGCGGGGTCGGGGAGCAGCGTGAGAGCAGGGCCGGGGTGCGGGAGGGAGGGGAGTCCTCCCCCCCGCAAGGGCTGCACTTGCATCGTTATTGTCATTTTTAAAAACACTACTTTAATATTTTTATTTTTATAGGAGGTTTTGCGGTGTTTGTTTGGTTTTTGATTTATTTTTTTTTTGTTTCCTTTTCTCGAACCCCCCCCCTTGTCACAGGGGACAGCGCGTTCCCCTTACCTGTGCCCCTCTCGTTGGGAAGGGCTCCCCAAAACTTCCCAGAGGAATGACGGTGCCTTTATTCCCTGGGCCGGCACTTCAGAGATTCGCAGCTTCTTCCTCCTTCCCGTTGCGAAATCTTTTCAAGGCTCTTTAACCCGACGTGCTTTCATCTCGTTTATTTCCCGGTCCCTGAGAGCTTTGCAGCCGCTCTGTGCGTGCAAAGGCTTTGGAAGTGACGAGAAATGGAAAGAAAACGTCCGTGAAATGCGTTTGGCGACGGAAAGCACTTGGAAAAGGCAGCGGTGAGGGTGCCTGTCCCCCCACACAGGCACTACTTGCTGTGCAGTGTTAGAGCGAGCGAAGGAAACCAGGCGGCCGAGGCTGTGCTGCTTTAGCAGGGAAATACATCGAGTTTGACTGTTTTCATTTGAAGTGTTGGCCGGTTTCCTGCCACGTCCAGCATTGTTCCTCTTGTGTTTTCTCTAAAAGAGAAATTCTTTCGAAGTAATATATTTGTAAAATAACTTTTTCCACTCACTGCTGTTACCTTGCATCGCAGATGTTGCCCAGGTTAGTACGAGAGCTTACATTAGTTAGGGTTTTAGATTTTAATGGTTAAAGCTTCTGTCCCACTAATGATTTAAGTTCTTGCATCACTTTTTACAAAAAAAAAAAAAGGATAAAAATTTTTGTGTTTTCTTTTTTTCCCTGGTTCTTCCCTGACCTCATTTCCCATGGCCCATAGATTTTCCCAGTTCTGTGTCTGAAGCACAGAGCTTGTAGTGATGGTTTGAGTGCCAGCTTGACAGTGCTCACTAGTTTGGTCCAATACCAAGAGTTACTGACCTGGAAATTAATTGCTCTGTTTGAGCTCTGACTGTACTCTTCTGTTACAGTCATACACACGGTTTTTAGAAGAAACCTTGCTTGGTGTAACATAGCTGTCATTTTTTCCACTTGAAGGTGGCTTGAGGTTTGTGTTTGTGGTTTTCAAAGCAGCGTTATGCAGTCTTCTGTAGAGTTTAGATTAGAACTGTATCAGTGCTAGCAATTCATGTATCAAACATGGTTGCTTTTCTCCCAGGGAGTACACTGACCAGCTTTCCAGAAATCTGTTTGCCCGTAATCGAAAGTAAAAACCTCGTGTAATAAGATGAGCAATAAACCTGGCACTAGGAGGTTTTTGTGCTTCTAAAGGAGACTGATGGGAAAATGACTGTTTAAAGCTTGCACTAGTTTTGACAGGGAAGGATTAGTGTAGTAGAAAAACAGGATAATAAAAGGTCAAGTGTCTTGAACAGACATTTAAATATGGTACTAAGGGGAAAAAAATTACTGCAGTGATACATGTTTTGTGTTTTTTGTAGATGTCACTGATGTTAATGGCTTGGTTGTTTCATAGCTCATAAGGATGAAAAATGGCCTAAAAATGGCCTGCATTTTAGTTCCTAAGGACACTCAGACAACTCATCCCTCTGTGTAATGGTTGGTTTAACATAGAGCCCACCATGCGTTTGGTTCTTCTCGTGGCTGTGATGTTTAGGTTCTGAAAAAATGTCAAAGGGCCAAGAACATGAGGAAAAATGCTGACAAAATAACCAGAGTGAGTGAGAAGAGTGGGGTGACAGAAATATCTGAATCAAAGGGTGCCAAAGTTTGTGTCTGATAGAAGAGAAGAATGTGTGGGCTTGGATACCTTTAGAGCATGCATTTGTACCTGTGCTTGATGTGGCAATGGGCTTTAAAAAAAGTGTTCTCATCCATACAGGAGGGTTGAACCAGGCAAATATGTGGGAGTGATGTAGGTGGGATGTTGTAGTAATACAAAAGAAAAACGTTGGTGTGCAGAAATGCTCAAAAAGTAGTAAGAGATTAGGGGAAGGGGGAGGGACTGATGCTTTGCTGAAGGTGCTTTTAGGTAGTTATTAAGTACTCTCTATATGAAACCAGTGAGTTGTTTTGCAACTTCTTATTTGTTTAGGAGAACAGTATTTAATATACTAAGTGTCCTGAGTGTATATGGTCTTGAGAACTTGCATTTTCAAGAGTTGTAAAAGGGACATGGAAAATTAAACAGGTGATCTTGAAGTAATGAGAAGACCTGGTATGGAGTTCAGATTATTTCAGCTAAGTTTTTTAAGTGGTGATTTTTAAGTGATATATTAAGTGATTTTGCTGTGCTTTAGTCTGTGAAGATCTATGCATTCCTGTAGACGTACAGAAAGGGATGCCCAGTCCTCTGAGAAGGGGAGACATGCTGAGAATGTGAGACTTCCTTCATCTTTGTAATGGTCTTACAAATCCTTAACAGTTTTCTAACTGAGGTGTTACATATTTTTTTCAGTGATTTGTTGTATATCAGGAATTGAATGACAGTAATTCTCTTGCTCAGTCTTCAGTGCCTATGTGACACGAATTGTCAGGTTGTTTGGTATCTTAGCCCTCAGTCTGTTTTTTTGTTTAGGAAGAATTCACACCACTCTACAGAGACAGTTTATCAGTTTTTCTTCATCTGTTGCTGTCCCATTTAAATAGACTTTATAGTAATTCATTAACTTTCTAGCTAATATTAAAAAGATATAATTATCTAGTTAATAGTTGGATGTACTTAAGTTTTAGTAATACAAAATGTAGAGAAAAGTGGAGTTACAATTCATGGCTTTGAGTAAAATACCCTGAGGTACTTCCAAGACAAGCTTTGCACAGGAAAGATGCTTGAGTTCCAACTCTGTTACCTTGAGATCTCAGAAAGGCAGGTGGCATGTGGATTTGCTGAGGGTTGCATAAAGCCACAGGCACAGACAGCCAAGTCTGCTTGAAAAAAGCAACTGGATAAACAATAGTTGATAGGAAGCATCACTAATATTCAGGAATAGCATAGTACGTTTTATTTGCATTTCCAGCTGTGATGGGTTAGATGACATAGCTGGTCTGTGTACGGCAGAGGGGTGTTGTGGCTCCCCGGGTCGAGTCTGTGCAGCACCAACACAAAACCAGAGTACAACATGTCATTTGTAAAGCTCGGTGACTTTCTGTTCCACTTCTCGTTCTGTGGGTTTGTGACAGTGTTTGGACTGTGCTGGGGTCCTGGTGATGCACATGGAGTGTAGGAGCTGTTGCAGTGGTATTGACAGAAAATAATGATACCTTCAGTTGTCTGGTGAGGTGGTATCCAAAAATTGTTGTAGAATACTTTTGTATGTTTGATTTTTAGCTGTGTAATTTTGAACTATTAGTCCTGTCATGTGAAGAAGAGTCTCTGGTTTATCCTTCTAGTTGCTATTATGAGGAGTTTGAGCCTTTTGATCTGTTATCTGTCATCTCAATGATGTACAAAAGATATTGCATGGAGAAAACCTAAGAGCTGCCTGCCTGGTCCCTCTTCTATAAATGACAAGTTCAAGACAAGCAAAGTTGAGCTGTATTTGACAGAGGATCTTTACAGTTTAAGAACCTCAGTGCTGCTGTGCACTGACAGCAACTTTTACGTGAGGTATACGGGCAAATGCAGCTTTGCTATTTAGCTGTAAGTCAAAAATAAAAATATAGATTAACCAGAAAACCTAATTACCAGACTAAATTTTATTTCATGGTTATAGGAAGGCTCAGACTGGGAGGAAAGTTTAGAGTTCATCTAGTCCAAAAGTTCTACATAGCCTGCACTGAGGGGTGATCATAGAGAATGTTTTTGACTCTTTTGTTTTGGTAATCTCTGTCACATCCCTTTTGCTTCCAGGTGTTGGTGTCTGTTAAGATGTTCTGAGAGAACAGATGGTATTTTGAGATAACTTGCAGTTATTGGCATTGTGAGCAAGGTGGACAGCATTTGATCTCGTTGTTTGCCCTGGCATGTGTTTATTATTTTCACTTAATCATTTTGTTGAATGAATTGAATCAATACAGTTAACCCCCTCCCCCTCAAAAAAAGTAATTCCCTGTATTTTTTGAATGCTGAAAGTAGTTTAAACTAATCTAATGACTGAGAATCTAGCTTCTGAAATCACCTTGCTTTTCTGGAGTATCGTTTTCCCCCTCTTATTTGTCACTGAAGCCTCTTAGCCTTTTTGACGAAAATTAAGTGGGTGTTTGTTATTGTATACTATAAAAATAAATGCATATTTTCTCAGAAGAGTTCCCATGGTTCAGAGTGCCCAGCTAATACCTTCTGAATTGTCACTGCAGGATCAGCGAGGTGCATGTTAGAACAGGCCAAAGGTGGCATTGCCTTGATAGAGTAGCTTGAGAGCTGGGGATTGGTGACTCCCCTCATGTCAGGAGAAAATGTGGCCTGTTTTTTTTCTGCTAGAGATATTCTTTGATCTGCTGGACTAGTCCTCCCATTGTGTTTGGGTCTTCTACCCTTATTTTCTTTCTGTATTCTGCGACTGCTGAAGGCTAACACATTCTCAGCACAGTGTGTTCCAAAGCGTGCAGAACCCGGCCCTGCCTTCAGCCAGCTGTCTGTTCCCAATGGAGATATCCGCTCTGTCCTGTGTGTGATTTTTTAAGTCTTACCTCGTAAAAAATTAAACCCTAAATTTAAAAATTGCCTACCCAAACTTAATCAAAGCAGTCATGACACTGTGTCTTTCAAAGACTGTTTTAAAAATAGGAAGATCAGTGTTGTCCGACGTGCTGCCTTGCTGTGAGACTTGGATTTCTTTTTTTTAAGCAGCAGATTTTTTGTTGTGCCAAATTTGCACTTGTCACTCAATAATATGACTGTTTAATTGACTGTATGGTATTCCTGCACTAACAGGTCCTCTTCCCTCACTAACTACCATCTATTTATGTTTTATGTGACTAGGGGAGAAAAATATTATTTTGTTGACAAAGAGCAAAAACTTTTTGTGTTCTAGTCAGCAGGTAGTATTTGGTAGTATTTGGGGGGGTGGTTCAGGGTGAATGCCTCTTCTTAGTGTTAAGAGATTGCTTATGACCTCTCACCAGAAGGTAAAATTCATAATCTAAGGCAAGTAAATATGTGCTAAATTTAATAACATTCAACATGTGTTTTGGATATCACTGGTATTTGTTTTTCTAGTTTTAAATGGATTGACTGACTTCATTAAAACTGGCATTTGCTTTCCTCAGGATGGAGAGATAGGAGTTATAAAAGAAAACTATAATAAAGCATTTAAATTTCATTGAAAGCCTCATGACTTGTGCCTTTCATTGGTGGTCTCTTTATTGTACTTTAATGCCCTCAGTAGTTACAACTCGTTTTTAAACTATTTCACCAGGGAAAAGGTATCTACCTCTCCAAAAAATCCTCTAATTTCTAGCACAAAATCTGTTTGTTAAGCCAGCAGATAAGAACTGCAGCAAGATAGATCTGACAAAGTGCCTCTGTAAATGCAAGGTCATATCTTTCAGCAAAACACAGGTGACATATTTGCAGCTAGACTTTTTTTTAACCTTACTTTTTTTTTTACAAACCTCTTTTCAGCTGCTGTTGAAAAAACCACTTAGCAATAGTACAGGCCATGATAGAAAAGATAGAAAGTGGGACTGACAGCTACACTGTGATTTGAAAAACAAACCCCTGCAATTCCTTGGCCTCCCACATGCAGTGACTTAAGAGGATTTTTTTCCTTGTTTACTTTGAGCAAAAATAAGCATGGGAAAGGAAAACTTTACTGTAAATGGGAAGAAGATAATGATGTAGACAAAAGGCAAGCTGGCTGTTTTCATTCTGAAATACTTTACCAGGGGAAGAAGTTTCAAATGGTTTAAACCAAAAAAAAATATCTTGTTATATGTTGCTGCATTTTGTTACTCCTTTGCACATTTTTGTGCTTAGTTTATGGGTGGCTGTGCTAGTTTTTTCAGATATTTTACATATCTGTTTGGAAGGGGAATCGCAACAAAAGAGAAAGGG